ATACTTTAAATAGTTAATGTATGGTGCCTTCCCCCCTGGCATGAGGACCGCGATATAATATGTGACGCGTGTTTTGTCGCGCTCAGGTGTCAAACTCTTTGGAGTTTGACAGCTGGACGCGATATAACACGTGATACAATATGAATTGTGGTGCTCATGCTACGGGGGCAGGATCAATTAGAACTTGTCTAATTTTCTTTTGGAAATAATTTTAATGTCAACTAGCTTTTACCCGCGACTTCGTCCGCGTTTTCGTCGTTTTTCGTAAAAAAGTAGCTTAGGTCCTTCCTCTGGGTTCAGTGGTTTTGATGTGACAGACAGATTAACTTTCGTATTTTAGTAGGGAAATATATATTATATTTCCCTACTGAGAAATATAATATAGCTACGGTCAGCTGTGAGACTTAATTCCCTCTCAGTGTAGGTTTCGGACTCGCGAGATTATGTATGCCGTTCGCGGTCAGTTGTGAGACGTAATTCTCGTTGTGCAGCAGTTTCAGCTTCTCGGGTAACGTATGTTGTTCTCGGTCAATGGTACGCCTTCGCTCTCGTTGAGAAGATCTTTGAGACGTCCGTGATGTAGCTCATCTTGCTCTTTTAGCTGCTAATCGCATCTCTCTCTCTGGAGAGTTTTCATTGGCTCGAGAAGTTGAGGCTCTAACTCTCATAGAGTTTAATCGATTTGCTCTTTCCTCTGCCGATTCTTGAGATCGCGTAATTCTCAATCTCTTAGCTTTACTCGAAGTTCGAGATAAAGATAATGGTTTTTTAGGTGGCATTGTGTAATAATCTACGGTAACGAAAAGGCTGTCAGTTACCTAACAAAATTACCTACGTTAGAAGTCCTAACTTTAGCTACCTTACACTTGAAATCTAAGTGACTATTTAAACTAAAATATTCTTATAGAATTATAACCAAAAATATATACAACTCACAACAAAAAGGAAATGAAAATAAAGCTGAAACGCCTGTGCAATACTATATACCTATACCTACTTCACTTAAAAATAAATACTTATAACTAATTTAATAAGAAAAGTACCTACGCCTAATAATTTTTAATTTGAACGAATATTTAAACACTACCAAAACAACTAATACCTATTTTACAAAATAACAACAAAAGAAATTCAAATAAACTATTTAAAGACTAAAAGTCGCGCTGATAAGCACGGTTTCTCAATATCAATTATTGTCTGTCAATAAGGTCGAACCGAACGCTCTGAACGCACACCGCCGCCGCGACCCGGCAACCGTTACACAAAAATAATCCTTATAGCATGATTCAGTTCAGTATTCACGTGCGACGGCGCGATGGCTTATTTCATGTATAAGTTTGGTGTTTCTATACCGATTTCTATGATTCTTTTTTTCTTGAATAGGTAATAATGTTAACTTTTTTTAATTAGGGATGAATGAGAGTATTATAAACGTAAGAGTAAACAAATATAATCAGAATGCTCCGAACTGCTAAGCTATCAGGAGTTACACGTGTTATTGTGAGTCAACCATAAAAGATAGACATATGCTGTTGCGGAATATTTTTTAGATAATTTTATGTAGAATATTTCCGTCATACTTGATTTCTATGTAACTTTAACCATTAAGGCTGCACACGCGACGGAAGCTTAAAAAATGGAGTAACTTCTCCCGTTTTCCCAACATTTCCCTTCACTACTCTACTCCTATTGATTGTACCGTGATGAAAAGTATACTATAACCTGCCCAGGAGTATGAAGAATAATTGTACCAAGTTTCGTTAAAATCCGTCGAGTAGTTTTTGTTTCTATAAGGAACATACACACAGACAGACAGACAGACAGACAGACAGACAAAAATTTTACTGATTGCATTTTTGGCATCAGTATCGATCACTAATCACCCCCTGATAGTTATTTTGAAAATATATTTCATGTACAGAATTGACCTCTCTACAGAATTATTATAAGTATAGATAATTGTTAAAGTAAAGTTCAATGTAAAAATTGACGAAAGAGCGAGTATCCCCTAATACAAGTATAATACTTAAAAGGGAATACTCAACAATATGTTTATATGGAACTTATAAGCATTAAAGATTTTTTTCATTTTTCATTTTCGACTATCCTCCTTACGCAAAGGTGCTCGCGCGAAATCTTGTAAACACTTCCTGTACCAAACTGCAGGGTATGCTGAATCTATTCGTACGTAATTCGTCTGTTTTATTTAATTATTTTTTTTACTGTCAGCACACTTTCTTCGGTGACAGCCGTCGTAGGACGAACAATCCTTTTTCATCCCCCAAAGTATGACGACCGCGTTTGATCTCGCTACACTAGCGGTAGATGGTTGCTTTTGAAGGTCCTTCATCCATAAAAGCAGTTCGAATCGATCAAATGACTCATCAGACTAATAAATCATAGCACGAAAATGTTCTCGATGCAGGTCCATTTATTAATGAGACAAGAAAAATTTAATTGCCTCTCGAAAAAATGCGGAGGGAAATTTGAAAATCGAGTGTGGTATTTTTACTTTTAAATAATCGAAGTTTCCAAAATAATTACAAGTGGCTAGTGTCTTATACATAAAAACTTTTTTTCGCAATACTTTCTGAGTGGCCTGGTATGTTGATTGCATATTATCTTTATATATATAATTCTTCTGTGAGTGTGTATGTCACTGAACTTCTCTTAAACGACTGGACCGATTTTGATGAAATTTTTTGTGTGTGTTCAAGGGGATCTGAGAATGGTTTAGATTCACAAAGACTTGTAGACAGGACAACGTCTGTCGGGTCCGCTAGTCTTTATATATATAATTCTTCTGTGAGTGTGTATGTCACTGAACTTCTCTTAAACGACTGGACCGATTTTGATGAAATTTTTTGTGTGTGTTCAAGGGGATCTGAGAATGGTTTAGATTCACAAAGACGTGTAGACAGGACAACGTCTGTCGGGTCCGCTAGTATAGTATATTTCATTACGAGTGCGGAAAGTCTGTCACACAGACCAATAAGAGAACAAGTTGTCTGTCACTGCAAAGAGTTCCGACAAATGTCTAACAAATCTACCTACTTTTACTGAATAAATATTTTCATAGACTAGAAATTTAAAAACTAATTTTAAACTTATGATTACAATGAATTTTCATATAAATATAACGAAAAGTGCTTTTACATGTTGCAATTAAAGTTAAATCAACCAAAAAGGATTCCAATGTTCATGGCAATGCACGTTCAGTTAATGTATCTGTCTCGAGCCACGGTTTCTGGCTTAATAGTTGTTCTGGGGATATGATAGTATTTAAAACGATAAAATGTATTTCACCCGCCTCCTCCTCTAAAAGCTTCCCGACGTAAATGCTGGAACTATCATTTCGTAGACGTTACGGTGAAAGATAAAAGTCCTTTGTGTTGTTTTCAACTTTTCGTTGGGAATTCAGAAGAAGCAAAATGTCTCTAAATTTATGGAAGTTATATTGATATCCAACATCTATGCACAGCAAACTAGTTGCTGATATCGTACTTTGAAATTTTATTAAAGAGCGGTAAATAAAATGCCCTCTAAAATTATATGGTGTATTCTATCTGCTACAATGGTCCACCACTACTACTGCACTACTTCTATACAAATTGCAACCGCGCATTATAATAAAACTGACTTCATAATTGGATGCATAAATAAAATAATCAAGACAAATTTCTTATACACTCCAACGATCATATTAGCTAATCAAGATAAATGGGATACTACAGATACTTATAAGTTTTATGATAGGCTCATAGACATAACAGTAAAATATAACATACCAACAATAAAAGATATTACTTCAGATGTATACGAAATGTATGTTATGAAAGACCATTTTCTCTCCATATCATATTTCCATGATTGTGAAAAATTATTGGAAGTACCAATCGACTCCATCAATCCAGTAGTAAAACATATAGTGGTTATTTTTAATTCTTCAAAAGAATGCACAGCACTGCTAAATAATGTTATATCTCGCTACCTCAGTAAATATGATATAACTTTTCTAAAATTAAAAGAAGATGGTAATTATGATATTGTTACTTATATACCGGAGCTAAATCCTATCTATTGTAAAATGAACTATACCGTATCAGACACTAAGATAGCCACTTGCGATTCCTTAAAGAAGGACAACATTTTTCCAAATAAAGAACCTCAAGATTTAATGGGATGTGTCTTTAAAGTCGGCATGTCAACATTTGTCCCATTTTCGAGGATTAAAGATAGCAAATCAATGCAAATAATGGATCCAATCAAAGAAAAGGATATCAGAGGATGTGACGTGGAAATCATGAAAATAATGTCACAATATTTCAATTTTACGCTGCAATATTATTTTATATTTGACAGTGAAGACCACGGTCCTTCTCGACTAGCATTTTTGGATTTTCTGCTTAACGGTACTTTGGACGCTTGTGCAGGTGGACTATTTAGAGTATATGGTGATGTTGTTGAATATTCAGGTGTTTACGGTAAACAAGCGTTTGTTTGGATGTACACTGTTAAACGAAGAAACAGGTCTTGGCAAAACCTGGTTGCTAAAGTCGGTAGGTTATATGTATTCATTGTGTCCTATATCATCTTTTCCCTTGCATCATATTTACTTACTATGTTTGACAGAAGACGCGTATCACTCAGCAACACGATGTTGTACAATTGGGGTGCACTCATGGGTGCTTCTTCATTATATAAAGCAACAACTTTCAAGCACAGGATTATGAACTATTTCTACTTAACTCTATGCACACATCTCGCTGTTTACGCTAACATACACATGTATTCTTTTCTAACTGTCGTCGGTCCACCAAGTACATATAAAACTATCGATGAGATATATGGATCAAATTTAAAGCCGTACTTGGATCCAAAAAGCAAATTTTTTATCAGTGATAAACAATTCGACACGTTTTCTAATACATCAAAAAATTGTGTGTTTTTTGTAGATTGTGAATTACAAAGTTTTAAACATAATGGAATTACAATTGTAGTCGATGGTCAATTCACGTTGTTTCAAGCTGAAACTATAGTGGATGGAGAAGCTACGGTGTTAAAGGTGCCACAGAACATGCTGACTGTCTACCATGAAATTTTGATTCGAAAGAATCTCACCATCACAAATAGTTTTCAAAAACTTATGACTAGACTCGGGGAAGCTGGCATAAGCGATCGACTGTACCACGAAGCTTTGGGAATTTTAACAGAAGCGAAAGTGCTTAGTGCGACAAAAAATATTATGAGTTACAGCTACAATTGTAAAGGTGGATGTAGTATTACACTGATACAGTGCACGGGAGCATTCTATGTTTGGATGTTTGGGTGTGTCTTGTCTTTTTGTATTTTTATAGTGGAGATTACAGTAAAAAAGAAACAAGGCCGGGAAATATAATGGTTATATATAAATTTGTATGGACGCTGCACCCACGTCCGCCACGGCTTAAACTACATTTGTTTGAAAGGTATTATAGTCATGATCATCTGTGCTTAAGCGCATCAAATTCCATCCCGGGGGTCTTTAGTTATTTTAAGTTAAATAGGTACAAGTACTATAACGAACGAAAATAATAGAAACAAGGCCATTAATTTAGTTAGTTCGACTGTACATTGAGGGCTCAGGCACAATACATACAAAAGCAGTTCAGTAGCGTAACTTAGCCGTTTTCTTGAAATAGATACCTACGACTGAGTGGAGCGCAAGGGTCCTACCCTGCACCTACAAAATGTAAAACATATTTGTATAGTTACTATTGCCATGTTACGGAATCGAAACGGACGCGGGCAGCGCGGGCGGCGTGGGCGGCGCGGCGCAGCTAACTTAACTCGGCACATGCCAACGACCAGTCTAAGCGGCGCGTGACGTGGGCCTGCGTAGATTTGTCTTGGCAAGATTGGTTAGCGGCCGTGTAAATGTCGTTTGTCTGTGTGCGTGCGTCGATTCGGGCGCTAGTATGAAGTCGGAGTACTGCTCTTGTATGTATTGTGGCTCAGGTATTATGGGAGTACTTCACAAGGAGCAAGGTTGCCTCCTTATGTCATTCTGTCGCGCTAAAGTAAATCCAAAAATCCCCGCATGGGTTGGGGCTTTTTCAAACAGTCTATTCGTTATAGTAAATTTTCTTCTATGTAAAACGAACGACCACAAATCACACAAACTTGTTCACGCTTCGGTGACAACATGATTCCAGTTCATCCATACTAATTGACAAAGCCAATAATCGTGTTCCAATGCCTAAAGCGTGTTAGATAAAAATCAGTCAAGTGACAGGGACGCACAATCACGACGAAGTAAGACGAGTCGACTATTTGCTACTGCAAGTACTTCAACCCCCGTAAACCGCTCAGTAAGTGCAAGCGCAGGATGGTCGGCAGGCTTTGTCGTATATCTGGTTGTATAGGAGTACGATATGACATCTTATTATGGTTACTAATAATATAAAATGAAGGTACTATAAAATTAATTTATTAAGCTACTTAAATATGCCCATGTATAATATCTTTTGACTGCCAGGATATTTTTATACGGTGTCTCATATCTTTTGACTACAAAGATATTTTCATCCCACCACCTCGGAAAGTGTAATTTTGCGCTTCGAAATCTGGCTGGAAAATTCTATTTTATTCGCTTGAGCGGCAAAGTAGATTTGAATTTAGAACATCACATATAATGAGTACTCAATATAATTGTAAATTCAAAACGTCATTAAACCTATTTAATGTAACCTCTATGGTGCCAAATTTATGATTAGAACTTTTTAAATTGTGAAAAAATTTAAATTTGGAACCTTCTTGGTTTCTTTGTTTTATTTGCGTGCTTCGCGCCATTCTAGTTTTTCACGTTTTATTGCTTAAATATTTTGTCATTATAAATTGTTTTCTTTTTCATTTTGTCATTTCCTCGCTGAGGTGGGATGAAAAGTTACGTATTGCACTCGAGTGGAAAGATTTTTCACCTTGTGCTCGTTTGTTTCCCTCGCTGACGCTCAGGATTCTAATTTAGAATCACTCGCTGCGCTCGTGATTCAACTTTAGAATCCTTCGCTTGCTCGGTCATCCAAATCGAGCACGCGGTTAAAAAGGAACTTTCCACTCTTGTATAATAAATAACTATTTTTACATTGTCATAATAAAAAGGCTAGTTTTTCATAGATCCACCGATTCATACTAATTACATCATTTTTGGCGAAGCTGGGTGTGTTTTTTTCCCATCGTCCTTTTAAGTTCTTAATTGTCATTATAAATTAATTTTTAATAGGGATATTTTTAAATGCACAGCAAATAACTTAGTACCCACCAAGTCATTTACAGCAATTAAATTATTTTTACATCAAAATAATTATTTAACTGCAAACAAAACATTTGTTGAACAAAACTAGTGCTGAAAATAATTAAAAAAAATACGTCTATACTGTAGTAACAAACAAAATTGTATAATTGTATAGAAATATGATTGTCATATCAAATATACTGATTGAACAGCAAATATACTGATTGCACAGCAAATATACCGAAAATTAACCAGGGCTTCGACGCATTATACTCACACTCATAACAAAACAATTATTTTTGCAACAGGTTTCGCTTCCCATTAAGTATTCATATTCATATTCATTTATTGCATCTTGTTGTATACACAGGTGTTACAAGTATGGTTAGGTTGCAAACAAGAGCCCTGTAAGGGCACGGCAAATTATTAGATTATTATTACAATTACATATTTTATACAAAATTAAATCACATATCTTAATTAATAGTAACATTTAAATACAAAAATAGCTTTACAGTTTACATTAATATTATGGGTTTATGTCATGTTTATTTATTTACCCAACCTATTTCTTCGTCAATATATTCGTTTACAGAATAGTAAGCCTTATTGATTAGAAATGTTTTAAGATTACTATCAAATTTATTTCAAAACTTGCTCATCATTGGGACACTTTTGGTGATTATAATAAAAAGCGAGTATGACCACCCGATTGAAGTGAAATTTCTTTAGTTCCAATGATCTGAAAATCATAAACTGTTTGTTAATACAAAAAAGCACCAATCCGCGCTGGGTCCGTTATCACCCTCCAATCCGCACTGGGTCCATTATCACACACCAGTCCGCGTTGGGTCCGTTATTACAAACCAATCCGCACTGAGTCCGTTAACATCCACCAATCTGCATTGGGTCCATTATCACCCACCTATCTGCGCTGAGTCCGTTATCACCCACTAATCCGCACTGGGTCCATTATCATCCACCAATCCGCGTTGGATCCGTTTTCACCCTCCAAGCACTAGATGACACTAATCGTAACGTGAAATCGTAACACATTCGCCAGTTTACCTCCCAAGTCAAGCGTGCCTAAAGAAGTTTCACTTCAGAAATTAGATTCTTATGTCAATTAAAATGGTATTTCACCTAGGTAAACTGCTGCAAGAGATAAAAATATGGCAGCTTTGTTTAAATAAAAAAACGATGTAATACATATGTTGTGAGGTGGTTATTATCAACCATGCATTCTTAAAAAAGCTTTAGTTTTAAATAAATAGAGATGCATCACGAACTTAAATTGTTACTAATGTAACAATATTTTGAGGTGACTATTTTGCTGTGCAATAAGTATTTTTGCTTAGGATTCGGAATTAATTTTTATACAAAATGTTATTTTTTTGATTTGCAGTTAAATACCTAGCCCTTTTCATATAATATCGATCTTAATGTTCTGAAGCATTTATTTTGCGACGATCCTTGTATATTGAGCTGTAAAATACGTTCAGAGAGCCCAACATTGTGTGGGAGGTTTAAAGAAGAACATTTTAAGGAGATCGAGGAAAGCTTTTGATTTAGGATGCATTGTGCTATTGCAGTAAATAAAGTGGACAATTTATTTACTGCAATAGCACACCAATTTTGTAAATAGGTACGCAACATAAACGGCCGAATCTCCTTTTTAATTAACAGAGAAGTTTGATTTTTTCAAAGCTTCAAACGACTGTAAACTTGAGTTCATGTGGTTTAAATTTAAATTCGATACCTCTACGCCTTCTCGAGATAAAGGGTCTTGACAGACAGACGGACAAACGCACGGAAGGACAGACGGACAACAAGTAATGCTATAAGGATTTTCTTTTGAAGTACCTACGGAACCCTAAAAAGCTGCTGAACAATAATAAGGTGACTCAGGTAACAGTCCAGTAAGAGTTTGGAACTTTTAACTGAATTTCACTTAATGGAGTGGAACCCGGTCAATGAGAATTTGGCTCAACAGATTCAAATAGGGATGACGACTAACCTTTTTCGTCGAAGATTATCAAAAATATGCAAATAATGTGCAATGTGAAATAAATAAAATGATTGGACACTTTTTTTTATTTTTTTCATATAACCAAAACACTATAGAGATATATTGATTTGGAAAGTTGCGTGAAGTAATGATTTCGTAAAAAATGTACTAAGAAAGACGTGACGAGCCCGCACTCGCAAACTTTGATGCGCTTTATCGTTGACAAAATAAAAAATACTTCTAGATTATTTTTTGATAATCAAACTGACGGAATCAATAGAATTTTCCTATTGACCAGGTTCCACCCCAGTTACTTTATTATAAATTTATTTATAAACAATACAATTTACTTTATGTAGTAAGATTTTGAACTAATATTGTAAGTAATGGAAAAACCGGCCAAGTGTGAGTGGGACTCACTGCCGAATGGTTCTATATAATTAAATAAATAAATATTTTCAACACTCACACAACATCAATTGGCCTAGCCCCAAAGTGAGCACTGTAAGGCTTGTGTATATGTATGTATATAAGTATATTTATATAGAAATAAATACATATTAAATATTCAAGACTGGAGAACAAATGCTCGTATTCATCACACAAGCATCTGCTCCCACCGGGATTCGAACCCGGGATTTGGAGTCAGCGACACCATTCATGGTGTCCGGGTCCGGGTTTCAACCCGGTGTACAAACCACTCTAATAATATTGTAATAATTATCTATACAAGTTTATTTTATTTGAATTTGATTATTTATGTTTAAAGTGAATATAAAACCAACAGTTCTGTATATAGGGTGAAATTGAATGTTTTAATGAAACTTCGTGAGATTGTTGGGTTACGAGTATAGAGTATGCCTGATTTTTTTCGGATTTTTTTGAAGTATTTTTTTTCATGTATTTATTTATAATTTGTGTATTTTTTTGTCCTTTCCTCCTTTTGA